TAAGATTTATAGCAGATTAGTATAGTTTTAGTTGCCTATACCATACTGGTCAGGTTACTTATACCATACTGATGATCGATAACACAACCAATTCCAACCTAAATAAGTATTCCACTCTACGTATGATGATGCTTCGCAATAAAGTGATTAGTCGAATGTTACAGCGCAAGTCCAATGTTACGGTAAACGTTAGTTATACGTAGCTTTTTTGACGTTTTTACGTCAATTAACATTAAGATAGCTACAGTCACTAGCACAAGTCTGCATCTATACTATATCCACATGATTACATATTAGAAAAAAATTTTAAAAATTTTTTATCATATTTATTGTATTTTATTATTATAATTTTCTTTTTTTTTTTGTAAAAAATATTTCAGTCGTGTTTAAAATTATTGATCAGAAATTTCCGAGAACTACCACGGCTATTATTATTTCGTCCGGGTCATATAATAAAAAAGACGAGTTTAGTGGCGTATCTACACCAAACTATAGACAAATGTTTATAAAATTGTAAATAAAATAGAATTACAGCGATGAATTTTAATAACTCATGCAAAAGGCTGAAATAAAAAAAATATACACAAGAAAAAAAAGTGTAATGTATATTAAAGACGATGAACGATAATTAAAAATGGTAAGGTAATAATAGGTGGTCCTTCTTGAACCCACCACCGAATTAGCATTTCTCGAAAAAAATTTGAATTACATATCGATTTAACGAGGATAGCCGCGATAGTGTGATCAATAATAAAGGGACGAGGACGATGATTTAAAGGTAATGATTATATGCGAAATATATGATAAAATTTAAAAATTAAAGTATAAAAAAAAAAAAAGAAAAAAAAAGGGTCATGAAAATAAGTATAACAACTGATATATATCTAGTTATTGAAGAACAATAATGTATTTTAGTAATTAATACTAGAGAATAAAATGGCCGAAAAGCGAAAGTAAAGAGAATACAGAAATAAGTAATTCCTAAATTACTCATTCTATGTAAAAATTGAAAAAAAAAATAAAAATAAAAAAACTCTCGATCAACATAATCATTGTTTTTAAAACTTTGCAAAAAAGATTAATCCTAATAAAATTGTTTTTTGATGTTCGTAAATGCATTAGCGCAAGTAGAAAAGTTTCTATTTTTAAAAAACAAATTGATTTTTTGTTTTTAAAGAAATAGAAATTACGATATCAAGCTTCTTAAGACTGTAATACAGTTCTTAAAAAGTTGCTCGTTCTCGTGCGATACGGTATAAAAATATATCTTAACCAACCGTGTCGTTGACGGATTGGAAATATCAAATTTTGTCTCACATCTAAAATCTCGGGTAAAGTCTAAAATCTGGTAATTTCTTTTACAGAAGTTAACCGAAAATCAATAGACTTTAAGCGGACAAATTAAGACTAAATAGAAATGGGTCCGCCTCACACGGGAGTTTCGAATCCAAGTATGAATAATTACTTTTGCTTTTCAGCTCGGTGTCTAACAGCTTTTCAGCCGATGTTATTAAATATGTCCGTCTCGCAACATAAAGAGGAATGTATTTAGTTCGTAGAGCTCCCGTTTCGTGATCGACAGGTTTTCGATAGTTAAGATGAGATCTTATACCGAACAAGAATTAAAGCTCGCCAAGGAACCCTTGTATATGGACTCTGAAGTTTCACCTATAACGTATTATTACGGATATAAACACATTCTGCGTAAGGAAATACTATCGGAACCAGATAAAGACCCTTGGAGAAGGTTAATCCTTGTTACTTCGCAAGAGTTAGTTATTGCCTTTATATAAAATAAAAATTAAAAGGTAAAAAAAAATAATAATAATAAAAGTAAAAAACTACTAATATCCAATATATATTCCTTCTTGTCTAATATAATAAATAATACTTACAGAGATTATCAGCAATACCGTTCGACTTGCAAGCAAAAAAGCGAACGTTCGTATTTATTTATTTATTTATTTATTTATTCTCTAAAAAAAAATATAATAATAATATTGAACCGACATGCGAGACGGAAGGAAAGAGCATAAAGAGTTTTTACTTTTTCATGTGCGAAGCACTTTAAGTAAGATACATTCGAACGTAATTTTAGGAAACAGCGCCGCGACCGGCTAGCTGGTTCAATTTTTTACAAACAAAAAATTTAGAGGTTTTTATAGTAAAAATCAGAAGATTTTAACCTGATTTATACTTTAGGAAATGATCAAATATGGTCCCTTATTGTATCGCCCCCCTTTAAATGTATCGATATATACTAATTTTTATTCGTTCTTTTAATTAACAAAAGCTTTTAAACTACTATTATACTAAATTATTTAATAAAGAATACACAAATATATAAATTAAATAACGATAAACAAATTGAAATGTTGGTAAAAAAAAAATTAAACGCCGAATTTTACGCCCTTCATAAACTAACTAGGTGATGTTGCGTGTATTCATTCTGAACATCATTATCTCTAGGACTTACCTCGAAAGGATGTTACCTCGAAAGGTTTACATATTTAAATTTTTTTTTTCTCATTGTACCAAATTATTGTATCTTGATTATTGAATTTTGATGTTCCGTAAAAATTTCTAGTTTTAATTATATGATTTTAAATTTTGGCAATGTCAATATCAAAAAAAAGGTGTGGTATTTATTGATGCATATGTCTTACAAATTCAAAGTTTAATAAATCCGGTATTGAAACTTTTAAGCTTTTCCGAATATTTAATGAATAAATTTGTACAGTAATTAAAAAACAGGAGAATTTTCTAACGAAGATATTAATAACAAGAAATATTGGGTTCGTTCACATGAAATCATGAGCTTGAATTTCGTCTCAAAAAATATATGTATGTACATATGTACATGTATAAAGATAAGAAATAATAATATTAGCGTTAACATTAATTAAAATCTGAAGCAAATTTATTTTAGCATATTTCAGCACGAAAAGAAAATTTTTTTTCATCCGCTGCACGCCTTCAGCATGATAAAATTTGCATAAAATTAATTTGACAATCTACACACGCCCAGTTACATTATTAATAATATAAGTCTCTCATATAATCCCTCGTGAGCGTAATTTCATATGATATTAGAGGCAACTTCTAAACAATACCTTTATTAATATATGCATCAAAAGTTGAAAGTTTGGCGCGGGTGAATATAGGCTAAAAAAATTTTTTTTTACTTAGCCTGTATTTAATTTATACTCACGGTGAATTATCGTAATTGCAAATTGGATAATTATTATACTTTATTATGTGTAGATACTATAACTACTTTTTCTTCTCGTTTTTTATTTTTCTTCAAATCATCTTTTAACAGTAGCCCCCGCATTTTATTATATTATTTTATATTTTACCACAACAAATCGACGAAAGAAAAAACGTGGGGCATTTGCAGCACAAAACAATGAGCATTCAGCTCATAATGCAGGAAAAAAGGTAACGGAATCAAGTAAAAAAAGATAAATGAAGTTTTTCCATATTATATAGTACATACATATTCAAAATTTTATTTACACAACTTTATAATGTAAAGTAATGCATGCAAAGTACTTTACTTTTTAAGAAGTTCATTATTTCAACAGGTTTAGTGTATCGTAATTCCATAACGTTATTTTTGAGTCTTTTTTGTCTTTGGCAATTCTAGTACAACATATCCAATTCAAATTTGATCAAATCAACCTTATTTGAATTAAAAAATTTCTGATTTGTGACCAAATCAAATTAAAATTTGTTAGTAATAGTATAGTAATATATAACAATCAAAGTATTTTAAAAAAGTTATTTTTTATTTATTTGTTTGTTTTATATATTTATATAATATATAATATTATATAAATTATATTTTTAAAAGAAAAAGTTATTTATTATCAGTTATATATTCCACGTGATTTACATTACATAGACTAGTTATACAAAATTACAATCTAAAAATCTTTTAAAATAGTTTATAGTCGTATTTATTTATAAGAAAATAAAGTTATAGATAGTAATTAATTATAAAAGAAATAAAAGGTTCTTTTTATATTATTTTTTTTCTAATAAGAATTATTATTTAGCTACTCTTAAAATACTTATAAGTAACTTGTTATATTAAAAACTTTTTTAACAAAAAAAAAACAAAGAATATTATTTAATTATATAGAAATTAAAACTTAATAAAAGTATAATAAAATAAAATAAAAAAGGTTTGGTGATCTTAGTATAATAGTTAGGTTACCAAACTACTATACAAGAAGTCTGAAGTTCAAATCTTACTATTGATGAATTTAAATAATTACCTGAATTTTTATATCTAACTTATAGTAATTTTTGTTCATTTCTGGATTTGTAACCTTGTAAATCATATTGTATCAATATTATCTAGATATTAGAAGTATGATATAATATTGTATAAATAAATCTTGATAAAATTTACAGGCAGAAGACCTGTATACTAAAAATCTTGAATTAGTAAAATAGTATAGTTTTTAATGATTATACTAGCTAATATTTGATTTGAAAAGAATACTATTACTGAGAAAGATACTAATTGAGTCAGATATATATAAGTCTATTCTATAGAAAAGATCAGTAACATCAATTTAACTTAGTAGCTAACTAGATTAAAAGAATTTGCTTTATTAAATATCTTAAAAGATAGAATATATAAAACTAGTGAGAAGGTTTAGTGATCTTAGTATAGTAGTTAGATTACTAGACTATTATACAAGAGGTCTGGAGTTCAAATCTCACTGTTGATAAATTGAATAATTATTCAGATCTTTGTATTTAACTTATAGTAAATTCTGTCTGTTTCTGAAGATTATAATTCTGTAAATCATATTGTACTAATATCAATTAGATATTAGAAGTATAATGTAATATTTAAGTTATATTATACAAATAAATCTTAATAAAATCTATAAGCAAAGGATCTATATAGTAAAAATTTTGAGTTTGATAAAGTAGTACAAATTTTAATAGTTATACTAGTTAACATTTAATCTAGTAAAGAAATCTCGATATGAAAGATGCAGATTGAGTAGATACAAGTAAATTCACTATATAATACAACCTAGTCCTTATATAAGTAACAACACCAATTTGGCTTGATAGCTAACTAGATTAAGAGAATTTACCTTATAAAATATCTAGTTAGAATCTCAGAAGACTAATCTAGTAAAAAGCTATAGCAAGAACTAAGTTTATACAAATATTACAAGAATTTAATTTAAATAAATCTGTAAAATAAGCATATAACTACTCTAGTAAGAATTATTTCTAAGGTTAATTAGAGCTCTATATATTCATAATATATTAAGTAATATATATTCTAAAAAGATTTAAGTCATAGGTCTGGTGATCTTAGTATAGTGGTTAGGTTGCTAGACCGCCATGCAAGAGGTCTGGGGTTCAAATCTCACTGTCGATGAATTTGAATAATTATCCAGACCTTTGTATCCAACTTACAGTAAACCCTGTCCGTTTCTGGGGTTGTAACCCTGTAAATCACGTTGCACTAATATTATCCGGATA